ATTTTGTAAATAAACTATTTAATAACAATTTAAAATAAGGTTCAATAATTTTTCTATTATTATTTTTTATAATACATACAAAATTTTAAAAATATCAATAATTATTCAAAGTGTTCAAAATTTGACCATAAATTAATGATTATTGGTATTTTTAATAATACAAGTGGGTTTTTCCATGCATCGCATGAGTCCCCGCTAGTAACCCATAAAGATAGATAGATAGATACATATATATAGATAGATAGATAGATAGATAGATAGATAGATAGATAGATAGATAGATAGATAGATAGATATGTCGGGGGGAGAGGCTTTATAATTAGATGGTTTGTTGTGAGATAGATTAGGAAATGTTTTAGGTGGGAGAGGTAGTTTAGGAGAAATTTTAAGAGAGGAGATTATTTAGGTTGTTGTGAATGTGTATGTGTGTGTGTGTGTGTGTGTGTGTGTGGAGAGAGAGAGGAGAGAAAGAGAGAGAGAGAGAGAGATTTTAGGTAAATTTTTATGGGGAAGGAGAGCCTCTCATTGGTTGTTTCAAAAATGACATGGGATAAAAAATAGGGTAAAATACAAAAAACTCCCCTAAAGTTTCTGCAATCATAAAAACCACCCCTATAGTTTCATTTTAACAAATACCTCCCCTGAACTTTTAAGAAACTCAACAAAAAACTCCCTTCTGCCATTGTCCCAGACGGAAAACGTTAGATTGATGCACCAATTTGTTTCAAATACCCGTTTTACCCTTTTATAAATTATTTTACATACAAAATTATTGAAACCACCCTATTTTAACTCAATAAAAACCTCTTTTAACGATCATTTCAGTAATTTTACATACAAAATTACTGAAATAAGTTTTTTGTTGAGTTAAAATGGGTTTATTTCAATAATTTTGTATGCAAAATAATTTATAAAAGGGTAGAATGGATATTTAGAAAAAATTAGTGCATCAATCTAACATTTTCCGTATGGGACAGTGACTGAAGGGAGGTTTTTGTTGAGTTTCTCAAAAGTTCAGGGGAAGTATTTGCTAAAATGAAACTAAAGGGGAGGTTTTTATGATTGTCAGAAACTTTAGGGGAGGTTTTTATATTTTACCCTAAAAAATAAGACAAATCAAAAAGGCAGAAAATTCATGCCGCTCCTTTCTCCATTATCCTCACCCTGCATTTTCCTTGACTCTCTCCTCTCCCCTTTCCACCATTCCCACCAAGCCATGTCACCATTCCCAACCAAACTACCTAAAAATATCCCTAGAATCTCTCTCCTAAGGTATCTCTAAGCTATTAGCAACGTGTCATGTTACCCCACTCCCCAATCAATTCAAGGTGTGAAGTACTCTTTCCCCTGTCTCTCTTCTGTTCATAGTCCACCATATAGAAGTTTGCTAGCCCCCCTCCTCTCTCTGTTTCCAGAGAGGTTTACTCTCGAGATCTCTTAAGGTTTTCTTTTCCTTTCGGTGCTTTGTTTGTTTCTCTGTTTTTTTATTTTCTTTGTCCTTCTGTTCTCCTTGTTTCCCATGTTCCCATATATTAGTTTTTTTCTATTTCTATGCTTCATCTATTTTCTTGTTTTCCCTTTTTTGTTCTCCTTCTCTAAGCTCTTTCATTTTTTTTCATTTTTTGTTATTTTGTTCTCCTTTTCTCCCTTTTGCCATCTGTTCATTTGTTCCTTTGTCTCTCCTTGTTACCTTTGTTTCTCCCCTCTTCCCTATTTTCTATGTTTGCTTTCTTTCTGTGGGCATTTTGATATGGAGTCCCTGCTCTAGTCTCCTTTCTGCAAAAATCACCGGTGGAAGTTGCCACTTGTTTTGCCGTCTTTGGGGTCTTGGAAGGCAATTACATTTCTCCAGCGTCCTGGATGGCAGTGACAGTGCTCTGACGTCTGAATCGCAATTTCAGTTCCTTGGTATTTCGAATGGCAATTACAGTTTTTCGGCATTGTGGATGGACGTTACAATTCTCCGGCGTTCTTTGGATGGTAGCTCGCAGTCAGTAGTTCTCTGGTGTGCTGGGTGGCAGTTACAGATGATGTCGTCTTTTGCGGTTTGCTTTGGAGTGGTTGGAAGTTACAGATCATGGCTTATGGCTTTGTAACCTCCTCTATCAGGTTTCATTTTACTTGGAAACTGCTCTTGTCAGTTTGCTCGCCAGTTATGGTGGTTTGGAGATGTACTTATCCACTTCTGTTGGGGATGTTAAGTCACATTTCTTTGGCTGCAGAAGTTCTTCCGATTCTCCTACATCCATCTCTTTGTTTTGTTCTTCTTGAGAATTTGTCTCTAAACTTTACTTGGCCTTGTTGGCATCTATTTGTATCAATCTCTTGAATGAATGAAACATGATTGAGCCTTCAAAAAATAATCTCTCCCCCAATCTATATCCACTCTCTCTCATTTAAAATATCCATATTAATTAATAAATAGTTAAATATTGTTAATATTTAATCCAACCCATATTCAATGAGTATTAAATAGTGTTATTACCAAAAGTAAATAAATACGGTTAGTAAATTAAATGAGCCCAATATTTTGGGTTGTCAAAGGGTTAGGTATGGTTTAAGATATCCTATACTTGTCGTATTTGTCCTATTCCAATAAAGTTTTATTTATGTATTCGTTCATTTTATTAAATTAAATGACTTGTTATCTATAAAGTCTTATTTATTTGATTTATTAAATTACATATTTATTTATAAATAATTTACTAACAAAAATTTAGACCCAAAACCATCCTAATTAGTATTCTCTCTCTCTCTCCTCGAGCCAAATATTTAGGGCTATCAATAAGTCGACAAATTATTATTTTGTTAATACCCTTTGTAATGGTGTCATTTATTGATTATTTTTTTATTTTTTCAAATTTTTTTGTTGTTGTTATTCATTGTTATTTTTATATAATAGAATTAAAAATCAAGGGAACATTGTTTTATAATTTATACATGGAAAGCTTGGCATTAATTAATGTTGACAACTTCTAATCTAAATGATTATAAAAAGAAAAATAATATTGTCCTCGCTCGTGGGGACAAGGTTATCCCATCCCCATCCCCACAGGGATCCCCACTCCCCATGATTTTTCAATGATGTCAATCATTTTGTATTTTGTTTTCTATTTCATTTAAAAAATTAAAATAGAATAGTTAAAATTTATCTATATATATACATTAAAATGGGAAGGGTCTTCGTTTGGGGGACATTGCTTTCTATACATGAAGTAAATGGTGTCCGCACATGAAATTTTTTGCTTCATACAAATAAATCAGGAATGAGGGTTTGATTTCTTATTCAAATGTTTTTTTTTTGTCTCTTTCATTTACCATTTCAAGCATTGTATCTCTACAAATGTTCATCGACGAACTTGTGATACTCTAATGTTTGAAATAGAATAAGAGCAAGGATGAGATGTGTCACTTTCTACAAATTTAATCAGATCCCTTTGATCTATATAAGCTCTTCACCTACTGTCCCATGGTACCATCACCCTATCCAAGCATACGTCTTTTGGTCTCTGTTTGAATTCTTCCTTGTGTTGATCGATGAATTCCTATTGGATCTCCATGTGTTGATATGGGTATCTACAAATTTGCAGCAATAAGATCTATCGGATCTTGCGTTTTAAAGCAACTTCCTTTTTGCTATGTTATCTTCCCAGCTATATGAAGGTAGTCATACCAATCCTCAGCAATGCTATTTCTATCTCTCCACTCAACAGGACACAATTCATTGACCGAAAGTTCAAAGCTCTCTGCACTGACCTAAGGATTGACCATCGAACCACTGTCGAACATCGACCCCAAAGCAATAGGCAAACCAAGGTGACCAACCGAACCTTATTGCACGGCCTGAAAACCCGACTGGATCTGGCCAAGGGAAGGTGGGTCGAGGAACTGCCAAGCATACTTTAGGCATACAGGACTACTCTACGAACAGCTATCGGAGAGACACCCTTCAGCCTGACCTACGAGGCCGAGGCCATGGTACCCATGGAAATAGGCTCCCCAACTCTCCGGACCAAGCTTTTTGATGAAGACCAGAACAACGAGGACCTCCCCGTAGAGTTAGACTTGGTAGAAGAAGCCCGGGACCGAGCATATTCAAGATGGTAGCACAGCAGCAGAGGATGGTGAAATACTACGACTCCAAAGTTAGAAGATGTGAGTTCAAAACAGGTGACCTCGTCCTTCGCAAAGTTATCGTGCCCGCACCTGGGGAAGGCAAGCTCGGACCAAACTGGGGAGGGCCATACAGAGTCACTAGAGTTCTTGCACCGGGCAACTACAGACTTGAAGACCTCGATGGCCAACCAATATCGAGGAGTTGAAACATAGGGAATCTTTGAATGTACTATCAGTAATTTGATGATTAATGCAAAATGTTTTATCCAAGCCACACGTTTGATTGTCCTGCACACCGCACGCACACGCACCGCACAAGACACTACGCACACACCGTGTAAGCCACACTACACAGTCGTGCGACACACACCGCGCATTGCATCCGTAGCTCAGCACACCTCTCTCACTCAGCTAATCTTTGAAAGGCCTGAGCCCATGACACATAGCTTGGCATCACATCGCCGACCAAGTAATTCGACTCGGCTGTCGACGGCCAAGCCTAAGGTGGAGAAGAACACCCCCGCCCATCAAGGCCTGAGGGCGGTCATTAAACTTCACTCGCCCACCGACTGTCGGTTACAGCTATCTGAGGAACAGCCAGCCCTCGAAGAGCCCCAAAAGCTCCCGATACCAAAAATCGAGCATCGCAAAGATGAGAGCTCGGAACATGCTTCGGCCCCACTAGCCGGAGATTGAAGATCTCGGCCAACCCTAAACCTCGGCCAAGGCAAGGCCGAGGAGCCCAACAAAAAAAAGTATAATATATACATATACACACAAGTTCAAAACAAAAAGTTTCATTAAGTTAAATGTTCAGTATAGCAGTAAAACAAAGAACCCTACGGCTATTCAATCCTCGGCGGGGGGATCAGCGGCCTCATCACCATCCTCGTCCCCATCAACCTCCTCATCAACAAGATTGTCCGAAGTAGGTGGAGCCCTCCTACGAAAGACGTTGAAACTAGCCTCGAAGGAAGTCGAAGCGTTCTGATCCATCTCTTGTTAGTGCTCCACTAAGGCTTTGTACTGATCCACCGCCTCCTCGGCGGCCTCTTGCCTTAGTCGTTCCCTCTCCGCCTTCTGCTCAACAATCTCCTATTTCAGGCTACGTACCATGTTCTCTTGCTCAGCCAACTGGGCCTTTAGCTCGGCCACCTCCTTCTCTAGCATGGTTGATTGCTCCCCAGCCGCCCGAAGCTCGGCCAATTGAGCCTTCTGTCGTAAGTACTCGGAGTCCTCTGCCTCGTACAGTCCCCGCAAGTGTTAGAGCCGGTCAATCAGAGCAATTGCCAAGCATGCATTCTACAAACATAAGAAATACTCTTAGCATGAAGAAACTTACTTGAAGCACAAAAGCGAGTATGAGCTTACCTGAGCCACTACCCGAATAAGTGAGCATTCTAAGGCACCGCTCCTAGTATTCCCGGCCTCCTCAGTGATGCATGCCGTCATCATTCCATGGAGCAACTGCTCGGGAACCCCAGGGGTCTCTAGCCTGTCCTAGCTATGGACCGACCAACAAGGCATGTGGATGTTTGAGTTGTTACCCCCTACTTCAGTCTGCAAAGGGAAGGCAGCCCAACGGACGTCCTCATCGTCATTTCCCCGCTGTTGAACCCTTTTTTGGCAACGGGGCACCCTCTCAAAAGACATCAGTAGAGGGACTACGTCCGGGCGAACCTACGGCTGCGCTCCAGCTCGGTTCTGCCTTTGCCGATTCTCCCTCATTCGGCGGACAATCTCCTCCTCGCTCGCCATCTCCACACCTGCAGCGTGGAACCGTAACAGTAAGCACAAGATCAGAGGAGCAAATATATATATATATATATATATATAAAACAAGGATTCGACAAGAAAAACCGAAGCGGCAAAAAGGACTGACCGGCCACCCTGCGCATCAACCCAGCAAGCATCAACATCTCTGAGCATGTGTACGCTACTACGTCTATCTCATGAATCATGCTCAGAGCCGACCTCTCCTCCCAGGTGAACACAAACCACAGAGGTTGCGGCACTCTCGTCCTCGGATCCTGTAGCACTGTTGGGAAGGGGAGACCCCAAGGACAATGCACGAAGAAGAAAGTCTTCTTCCAATGCTTCACAGAGTAGGGGGCCCCGACCAACAGGTTGATGTTCTTCCAAGTCGAGAAATAATAATAACCTTGTTGGTGAGGTTTCAACAGAAGGAGGTAGCTCACCATACCCAAGGTCAACTCAATGTCACGAGCTGCACAGTAAGACATGAGGCCGAACAAAAACCTAAAGGAGTTCAGCACCAGCTGCACTAGCAATACTCAGTACCATCCAAGCACCCCAGCGATCCCTTCATTCAAAGGAAACCTCAGCCTGGCTTCCAAACTGTTCTCGTAGACGCATATCTCACCGAGCCGAGCATCTGTTTCCATCTCACTGGGCTACGGGCACCTCATCCTGAATTCCTTGGGGATGTCGTACATAGCTCGGATCCGAGCCATATCCTTGGGGGTCAAAATGCAGGGTGTGGTTCCAAACCGGCGACCAGCCCGCAAAGGAAGCTCTACTTCTATCCTAGAGGGACCAACCTTGGCAGCCTCGAAATCCTTGACCTCCGACTCATAATCAGAATCATTAAAACCCGAAGAGGAACTAGAAGTAGAAGAAGAACGGGGGGATGAGGAAGACATCTCACCAAACTTGAAGCCGAAGAATAAGAGCAGAGGCCGAGCAACGCTAACAACACCCCGCTGAGCAATCCAGGCAGCTCTTGTCGCAAATGACAAAGGAGAAATGCCTGTTCACCCCTTCTTATAACCCCTAGGAATGCGAATCAACGCCAGATTAACGGTGGGGATCAAGCGCCACTCTGATGAAGCTCGAAAAGACCAATCGATGCGACTGTCACCACACGTGCAAAGCCTCGGGAACCGAAGCGATGATCTTGACAAGCAACGGTCAGGATATTAATTGCCCTGGTTCACCCTGTAGCACCGGTCCAGCTAGCGCCGCGGATGCCCAAGGTCCGCCTAAGACCACCGATTCAGTTAACCCCTTGGGTCTCCTCAAGATACCCAACAGTAGACACCGACCAAACGAGGCCGTGTCGTGCCTCAACCGGTCAATCCACTCTTCAACTTTAGAACTGGGGGAGTAGTGTTTGGATCCCAAAATTTCAAGACGAGTTCCTCAACCGAAGAACAAAGAGCCCTTCCTCGGCATAGCATCGCCGAGCATCGAAGAGGCCCAAACTTCGGAGCTCGGCACCTTCCTCGGCCCAGCATCACCGAGCATCAAAGAGGCCTCGGCCATGAAGCTCAACTCCACCTCGGCACTGGTCGAGCTAAACAACCATGCAGCATTTCGGCCGAGGAATGAAGAGCCCTTCCTCAGCACCATCAGGAAGATCCAAACTGCGAAGCTCAACTCAACACCTCGGTGCCCTGCCGAGGTAAATGACCATGTAGCATTTCGGCCAAGGAACAAAGAGCCCTTCCTCAGCACCATCAGGAAGATCTAGACCGCGAAGCTCAACTCAACACCTCAGTGCCCTGCCGAGCTAACCGACCGTGCAACACCTAGGCTGAGCACTCCCCCTCCTCGGCTCCAGAACTGGGGGAGTGGTGTTTGGATTTCGAAGTTAGAATTCTTGAAAGTTCTGCAACCGACGATTGAAGGACACCTCGGTCATATCCCACATTGCATGGACCCCAAACCCTGGCAAGCACCAAGGAACATCAAGTGGACCAGATGATCAACCAGATTTCAATTATACTTCAACTTGGAGTTCCTCGCCGAGGAACAAAGCACTCTGTCGCACTACACCTCGGCCGAACACTTCATACCTTGACTTCAGAACTGGGGGAGTGGTATTTGGGTCATGGCTGAGCTGGTCCTGAGAGACACGTGGCCACCCAGTCATCGCCTGATCAGCTCGGCCACGTTGGCATAGCTCGGCCAGCTCCCCACCATATGTTGACTCTGCAGCCTAGGCTAGGCTACGCTATTACTGTGGCCCCCCATCTTATCCTTTTAGCCACGTCAACTACACGTCACACGGATGAGCATAACTACAGATAAAGAGGAGTAAGGAAGACCACTCCGCCGGGGAATAGGACTCTATCCCAAATGCCTCGGCAACTAACCTCATCCCGACAACCCCGGAAGCCCAATCTAACCAGGGCATAGATCTCCGGCTATAAAAAAGTATCTTATGCTCAAGGTAAAGGATTCTAACTACTGACACCCATACTGTTACTCTGCTCGGACCAGCACCCTTATTGCTCGGCTCGACCATCCACCACCTCCAACTAACTTGGGCATCGGAAGTCTTGTAGCGCGGCCTTGTCCTCGTAGCTCGGCACCACCCTGTTGGCAAGGACTATCTGGCTGCTCTCCTCAGTTCGTGCACCACCTCGGATTGAGCAGCATCACACACACACACACACATATATATATATATATAGTGATCCCCACGGACCCAATGGAGCATGGATTGGAGGCCTTGGGGAAAATTTCCATCCCTAATAATCATCGCTATATTGTTAATTTAGAGAAACAACGTTTTTATTTTTTCATTGTTTATATTATTATTCTTATTTATTCTCAACTGACTATATTTGTACATATGTAGCCGCCAATAGAAAACTCTACGATAAAGTAAAAGTAAAAGACAAATAATTCTTCCAAAGTAACAAAAGTGATTATCCACTCTCTAGATTCTTTTTTTTTGTATATTATTGATAATTATTGATTAGAATAATTATCATATAATAAATTATTATTCAAAGTTGTAATAAACTTGTACATTAGGGTTATGAAAATATCTAATTTTTTTTCTTGATTTTATTTTAAGAAATTATTTTTATATTAAATATTTTTACTACTATATATATTTTCACATTAGATACACGTGCATAGAAAATGTCATTTTGCTAGTTAATTGTATAAAAAAAACTAAGTTGAAGGGCAATGTGGTATAAAAAAATATTTAAGGGTTGTTTAGAGTTTTAGAATGTCTAAAAAAATATTGCATGAATTAATTAACGACATGCTAACAGTGGGGGTAAAGTACCGGAATCCAGAAGTTTAAGGGTCTTTGTTGCATAACAAAGTTAAGGAGGCTAAGGCCATGTTTGGAAGTGTTTAAAAATAAGTACTTATTTAGACCATTAAGCACTTATTGGTATTTGAGAAATAAGCCCAAAATAAGTGCTTATTTTTTAAGCCCAAATTTCTAACTTTTTTTAAGTGCTTATACAATAAGCACTTATTCAATTTTTTTTCTTCCAAAATCATCCCTAGTTGAATTTTAAAATACCACTTATAAAATTATCCCTAGTTGAACTTTATAAAAGTACTTTTATGAAAGCACTTTTATAAAAGTTATTTTATGAAATCACTTTTATAAAAGCTTATAAAAGCACTTTCATGAAGGCAGTTTTAAAAAAGGTGCTTTTATGAAAGCACTTTTATGAAAGTACCCTTACGAAAGCACTTTATAAAAATAAAAATACTTTTATAAAGTGCTTTCGTAAGGGTACTTTCATAAAATTTTTTCGTAAAAGTGCTTTCAAAAATTTGAAAGAAAATGAAGGACAAAATAGTCACAAATGCTTATTTAAGTACTTATTAAAGAAAAAGACTACCAAACACCCAATATAAAATAAGTGCTTATTTTAAAAAATAAGCACTTGAAAAAGTTGGGTGTCAATTGTAAATAAGTACTTATTCGAATAATCACTTGTTTTAAGCACTTATTTTTAACTTAAGCAATCCCAAACATGGCCTAAGTGTCACTACCTCCTAAGCATATGGTGGTAGCCTATAATTTACCCTTTCTTATAATATAATATAATAGGTAAGAGGTTGGCCTAAGTTGGAAATGTAACCGAACCACTAGTCTAATAGATTAGGTCATCAATGCATTGAAAACCCTACTTTGAAATTAAGCTATGGGATTATTGACCCTTTTTTTCTATTTATACACAATGACTTGGTTTCATGTTCAACTCCAAGAACAA